GCACTTTTAGTGATTTTCAACATAACCTTTGTATGGGAGGTGGGCGTGGTTATTATCCGATTTCTTCCATTTCTGAACTGTATATGGAAATGCCTAAAAGAAACGACTGTGTACAGTTTGGTTGACATAGCTATAGTGGTTTTTGAGATATGGACAAAAAAGTTAGTACGGGCGGGGCCACGCCCAAAAAAATTACGTCCAAATATGCCCCTCCCTAATGCGATCCTTTGTGCCAAATTTCATTTTAATATCTTTATTATACGACGATTGTTTCTACCTTCGGTTGCTATTGATTAATGTACGCGGTTCAACTTCATTTGAGTCATTTCGTACTGTGAATGGTACGATGTGTGTAAGTTTTGGAGAAGTAAGCCAGCAACTACAATTGCTGCAACATGTTAATCACTGGAATGCTAATGAAGTTTGCACACTTTTCGCGATAATCATTTCGACATATCAGCCATCAAATCCGCWTYAGTTATGGGATACGAACAAAAATTACATTGCCGAAAACATTTTACATCGCCTTCGCTAAAAATTGGAAAWGGGKCAATTTCGGTTGATACTTCCTGTGGTTTGATATCAATTCCATCCGCCGTTTATCAATTCACGAAAGATGAACTCATCACGAATGTTCGGACATTGGCCAAATTATCGTAGCTACTATTCCTTAAGTGCAAGCGCAATGTTAGGTGACAAAAATAAAGATGTTCTCGACTTAAGCTTTAAGATTCAAAATCAAATTCCGGGAGACACTTGCGCTACAACTCGWTCGACCATCTTGACAATGAAGATGACGCCGTGAATTATCCAGTAGAATWTCTAAATTCTTTGAAGAGGCTTGGTATGCCACGGCATCATTTGCGTCTCAAAGTTGGATCTATCGTTATTATGTTTCGCAATCTGCATGCGCCGAAACTGTGGAATGGAACCCGACTAATTGTGACGCACCTTTCGAATACAGGGGGGTAGAATGTTTGATTCTACGAATTCCTTTTAGTTCCAACGGTTTCTCATTTCAGTTCATACGTATTCCGTTTTCAGTGAACAATTCATTTGAGATGACAATTAACAGGACACAAGGATAGTCTCTTAGTGTGTGGCATAAATTTGGAAATGAAATTTTTTTCACACGGCCAGATATATGTACGTGGCGTGCTCACGARTTGGAAAACCATCTTTTCAGTACACCGGAACAGAAACCAAAAAATGTTGTTTATCCTGCTGTGTTACATTGAAAAAAAAAGTCAAATGATAAATTCCACTTTCTTTTCATTTCAAAACACATAATTTCACGCAGGACAACGGCTGCGAGGTCAGCTAGTTTTGAATAAAATAAATTGATTTTGCTGAAAAAATCATTTGTTCTGTTGCTGGAACGCACATTTTATGTTTGTAGCAAGATTAAAATGGGGGAATGGTCGGAGTAACCGGGCATTTTATACTCTGGCAACTTGGACTGCCATGTATCTGCTTTGGCACTATCTTTGTCCGACTTTGACTCCGGCACTTTTAAAGACCTTTCATACCATCTCAAGTGTAAAATTTATTATCTCTGGCGTGAAAGCACAGTCAATGCCATTATATATGGCACTGGATTTCTTCCTTATAATTAACAAACCTTATGTACCTGAGGGTAACACGCCGGCTTTAACCCTTGAAAGTTGTAAGAGTATGAAATAATCGGTTGGTCTTTTCTTATTTGTTTTAATAAGTTAATAAAAATAGGAAAAAACATTAACTTTTTAACTTCATCCCAAGCTATATTMTCTGGCACATTTTTATACCCCAACCAGGGTTGAGTAGCTAAGAGCAAACGTTAGGCCCTACAAAATAAAAGCTGAGTCGAGTTAGTCATGTCCGTATGTCTGTGTATAACCAAAGTAGTCCTCCAGTGATTGAGATATCTATCTGAAMTTTTGGGCACGTTCTTTTTACCTACAGAAGCTGCTAGTATATCGGAATCAAAGACATCGAACCACTTTTGCATATAGTGACTCATGAAGTATTAAATGTACTTACACAGGAATAAAGAATTTCATTGATATCCCGAACCCTTTCTTTTTACCTACAGAAGCTGCCAATATGTCGGAATCAAAGATATCGAACCACTTTTGCATATAGTGACTCATGAAGTATTAAATGTACTTACACAGGAATAAAGAATTTCATTGATATCCCGAACCATTTTTGTCTTATTTAAAAAAGTCTTAACTCCGCTGACTCTGTATTTCGGTAGTAAATTTTAATAATTTTRACTCGTTGTTGTATCGTATAGTATATCTTTTCATGATGAAARGACAAACCTTATTAAGAAGTAACGACAAAAGAGCGGGAAAATATATCTAAACTTTTACTCAAGTTATCACTTGCACAGACGGACGAACAACCTACAGTCAGATTTTAATTCCTCCCCAACCGCATCATTTATATACGTACATACATATGTATGTATATATGTAACTAACTCGATTATTTTGTGGTGATGCGAACAAATGTTAGGTGAACAAAACTATTATACCAATTATAAGATATACCTCATCAAACAAAAAAAATCCCACAAGAACGCGATTTTTGTCACCTGCAACTGGACTTAATCCCTTCATAGATGCGAAAAGAACTACTGCGTTTTAAATATCATTCCTATTAGTTAGTATATATATTTATATACATACTTATATGGATATGTACATTCATGTTGCAGAAAAACATTAACATTTAATGAGTGCCATTAAATTTAATTAATTTATGCGACTTGGCAAAGTTAGTAAATCAATTCACCGTAGCCGATAAAATGTGTATCAAATGTTCAAATGTTTTTAGGCGTTTGAAATATGCATACAAAAATATACATATGCATGTATATGTCTTTACATATAGTATATGCGCATGTAGGCTATTAAGTTTGTTATGCATGTATTTGTAAGCGTAAAAATGTCGGGAATACCACTGTAAAGAATCGGTGTTTTATTCAGTGGTTTTGTGTCTCAAAGCGACGCTTTTAGCTATTTTCAAATTGGTGTTGATTTTAAAATTCCAAGCATGCTTATGGCTAAGCAACCAACATAGCAGCAAACGACAGAAAACAGCCGGCAATAACAATAACAAAACCAATACATATGTATTTATTTTTATAAAGTATACATACATACGTGTGTAAATAAAAATCTGTTTTTTAAAATAAATGTACGAGTATACCTATGCAAACATATGCACACAAACACACCGGCTTACACTCGCATACATACATATACTATGTACATATGTATGTATATCATGCAGCCATCTGAGCGCCTAAAACCGATACGCCGCGCACGAATATTGACGTCGGCGACGCCAGCGACTGCATGAAGAAGACACTACGCCGACGCCGGCCACTCGCGGCAGTTTACCTTCGCTTGTGACTCGCCGAGTGTGGCTGGCGCGCTCAGATGCCAGTCGACGGGGAACGTTGACGATAGACGTTGTCTTTCAAATTGTTGTCGGACAGCTAAACGGTTGTGGTGATTTTTGTGTTTGCTCCGAAGCAGTATTTCTTGCATTTATTGATAAATAACAAAACACAGTTAAAATTTAAAATAAAATACACAGACTCGTATGTATGTATGTGCATCTGGGCTAAGTGCAGAGTGAAAAGTGAAAGAATTATGTAAATATTGCATCGGTCAGCGCGCAGAAGCCATAAAGAACGCGAAATCTAGCGGATTCGGTGGAGAATCAACAATTATCATGTTATTTACTATATACTAATGCATGTATGTATATATGTACATAGGTGTGTGTTTGTGCAAAAAAAATTGTTTCAATATTAATTTGCAAAGAGTTTCTTAGTTAATTACCAGATACATTACCAGATGTGTGTGTGTGTGTGATGTTTATGTATATAAAATGTGTATATACATATGAAGTAATATGGTTAAATGTAATTGATTAAATATTTGCAGCAATCGGCTTCATAAATAGTACGCGCTTCAAAACAGATTTTAGAAAATATTGCTTAATAAATAAACAACTTCAATAACAACAACAAACAAGTCATCAAAAATTAATAAATTATGCCAAGGGTTATTCCAACGCACTGAAAATATTGAACCCAGTCAATTGGAAAATCATTCRTAACGTCGCCTTGAAACGCAAATAAGCAATAAAAATTAGAACAAAAACCAAAAACAATAATTCATGTCTATAGTCATCATATATAGTGTTAACAAAAAATATGCATACATAACTATTATGTTCTTATTGTATACACAAGCTATATCACATCACATGTACATATATGTTACTATATGTGCATATGTATGGGAGCAAAGGCAGAACCCCGTCTTCACAGCAGCGTAAAAAATTATTTCTTAATTAAAAGATCGGTAAGTGATAAGCGCATCCCATTGTCCATTGATAAGYCAAACAAGTCTCGAGTCGCCGCTTGGCATTAATCTGAAATTACGCGCTCACCGCAGTGCCACTTTTAATCTTATCACAGAGTATACATGTGTGGCATATTTGAGCGTCTTCGCATTCGCATCAAGGCAAATTAAACACACACAAAATAAATATTTAAAGATAATAAATTGTGTACAAAGAAATTGATATTATTATTCATACTTAAGGTGCTTTTTGGTGTAAAAACAACTTTATCTGAATTTTAATTATAAGATTGAATGAATTTGTTCGGTTGGCCAGGAGTCTTGATAACACTCTTATAGTCCGCAGGCACTATTTTTCTTTATCTTAGGCGTGATATTCCGGAAACGAAGTTCCTACTAGTGTTCATTGACCTAATGAAATGCAGTAACTAATTAACAGTTATCGGTTAAGCATAATATATCGAGAAATCCACTATTATTGATATAAATCCGACTATAAATTAATTAGTCTAATTACTTATCACCGGGATCGTATGCGTGAAAAACTTTAGTATAAATCTCTGTCACCGTAAAAGTTGTAATCATAGAGACCGATATCCAATCAACGACTTGAAATTCAACCGCATTTGCAACCATCTATCAAAGATTTACTAGAAAGAATGGTTCGATAAGACCAATGCACATCTGTTTGATACATATAAGTATTACAGAAATATGATGATCTCAACTTTGAATTTTATTCTCAAATTTCTKTTTTCTGAGCTTRAGGACAAATGATTGTGATTACTGTGGGTTCTTTAGTAGATAACCTTTTTCCGGTAATTAACAAATTGTGTTCTATTTTTTCCTGATATATCGTTGTTAAATTTTATCGGTATATCTCTTTCCCCCACAGGTTAACAAACTAACAAATTTTTACACCCAGAGTATATTAAATTTATCACGAAGTTTGTAAAACCCAGGAGGAAACGTCGGAGACCCCATAAACTAGTATATACATTTGTATAAAAATGATCAGTGTGACGAACTGAATTGAATTAGCCATTTCCACTTGTCCGTCTCTCTGTATATGCATCCACTAGTCTTTGTAGATTTTTCTCCAAGAAGCTACTCATTTCTCAAAACCGCCGATGTCGAACCATAGCATATTGTTGACATATAAACTGAATGATCAGAAGAAGTAAATTTAAAAAATTTATAATATATGTATTTACGTTATAATTTTACAAAAGATAATCCTTCAATAAAATAAGAACGATAAAATCACATTTTGTATTTGAGACATACTTAAGTACATACAGTGACCTATAAAGTTCACTTACACCTACTTCTAATAAACACGTTTATTTGTTATAAAATGATTACATTTTTAGTTTTTTTTTTTTAACCTTTTCAAAATATGCATATTTAATATTTATTCCAAATAAAAACATTTAATGCTAAGGCTGAAATTTATATAATTATTGTCCCTAGACGTCGACGTATGCTCCCCACTCGATTTCTAGTATTATTTCCGGATATTTTRACCCACCAAGTTGATAATCCAGTTTTTTGGCATTATTTCAAAAAGATTCGATGTTTTCGAATACGGTTTTCCAAAGTTCCAAATATTTTTAAAAGGATTAATGTCTAGTAATTTAGGGACCTGTGGCGTTATTTTTAATTCCATAACAACGATTCACGTACAAAATAAGACGTATGTTTAGGGTCGTTATCCTGTAGTAAATAGAAGTGGCTGCTATTAACAGCTGATTTAAGCACACTTAAACTTTAATTTTTTTTCTTAAAATGTTCATATACATATGCTTATCCATTTTTTCACTTCATCGAATTTCTTCAAAATAAGGCCAACTGGATCATCGACTATTTTAATTCCTCTTGAACTATATATGTAAATAATTATTGGTATATGCAAACTTTTTTTATTTGTGTAAACAAAAAAATATTTTGATATGCTATATTAAATGTTAAATATAAATTTTTTGAAATGKTTAAAAAAACTAAGAATTTATTCATTTTTATAACAAATAAACGTGTCGAAATTTAAAAGAACTGGGTGTATGTAAACTGCCCTGAAAATTATCACAAAAAAAAACAAAATTGGACTAAACTTACTCGGAAGAATAGACTTATCTGCTAAAAATTTTTCTAACCATTTAAAGCTCGAGTTGCGCAGTAAAAGAGAAGGAAAGTAA